CTATCATGCCATTGGGCTCCAGCTTGGGCGACAAAAGCAAGACTCCATCTCAAAAGAAAGAAAGAAAAAAAAAATTAGCTGGGCATGGTGACATGCTCCTGTAGTCCCAGCTACTCAGGAGGCTGAAATGGGAGGTTTACTTGAACCTGTAAGGTTAAGGCTGCAGTGAGCCGTGTTTGCTCCACTACACTCAAGCCTGGGTGACAAAGTGAGACCCTGTCTCAGAACAAAACAAAAAAAAACAAAAACACCCCAAACCATATTCAGTGCCAAATGCTAACGCCCAAATAGACTGTATAAATAAGAACATACGGGCTGGGCAAGGTAGCGCACCTCTGTAATCCCAGCACTTTAGGAGGCAGAGGTGGGTGGGTCACTTGAGGTCAGGAGTTCGAGACCAGCCTGGCCAAAATGGCGAAACCCCGTCTCTACTAAAAATACAAAAAATTAGCCAGGTGTGTTAGTGCATTCCTGTAATCCTGGCTACTTGGGAGGCTGAGGCAGGAGAATAGCTTGAGCCTAGGAGGCGGAAGTTGCAGTGAGCTGAGATCACGCCACTACACTCCAGCCTGGGCAACAGAGCAAACTCCATCTCAAAAAAAAAAATATATATATATATATATATATACACACACACACACACACACACACATACATTTATATATGTCTTCACCATTTACTCTTTGGTCTGTGTTTTAACAACGTTGAATCTACCTAGCAGCTGCTTCTAGGACTAAATGAATAAATGACATTTCTGATATCACAATGATTAAACACTGTTCTAAAACAATGGAATAACATCTGTGAAAAGGGGAAGAGTAAAAAAATAAGACAATGGAATGTATACAAAATAGAACTACAGAAATGAAGGGCAGAAGTGAACCAAAGTAACCAATGTAAAAACAAGTCAGGAGAAGAGAATAAAACATATATTTCTTCAAGGCTTATTTCAATTCTTATGAAGCCTCCAATTCCCACAAGCTTAAAACACATATTTAATTTTAAAAAATAACTTTTTCCAATTGAATAGTAACACATGTATCTAAATATAAAGATAGCTACAAAATATATGTTTTATTATTTTAAGAAAAAAGTATAAGCTCACTGGAGAAAATTTAGAATATAAGAAAAATAATTCTATCCCTCACAGTAAACTACTGTTTAACCATTTAAAAGCCTAGCTCTCAGAAAGGATTTTTACCAACTGCTAAAAGAATTGGAGGGAAAGAAAACCTTGCCGATATGCCTAAATGAACGTTCAAAGTTTCACCTTTCTTTTTAGAGTTAGGAAGTCACATTTTACCTACAGGAATGAATATATTTGGTTATAGGTGGGGCTGGTTCAAGAGTCACAAAAGCCGCACAGGTAATAAATACCTGTTTTCCCATGGGGAGGTTCAATAAAATTATTTTTAACTAGGAAAACAGGTTTTAGCTTTACCTGTTGAGGCAAATATTTGAGCTGTACACTGCAGGTTAATGAATGCTACTGGAGAAGTAACATAAAGAAGTCTGGAGGGAGGGAACCACCACCCATTGTCCTAACAATGCATGTTTCTATTGCTTTCTTGTCTTGAAGGCATATATGTCGCCCAAATGGACTAAGTTCTGACGAAAGTTCTGCTTTAGGCTAGGCACTGCACTAGCTCCCACTTCTCTAAGTTGTTATATCTGTGGAATTTGATGGGACACCCAGTTCACAAAGTGATAAAAATCATAATGTATACAAGTCTCTTTAAGATTACCTTACTATGTCTTGTTTTGGTTTCATATACATAATAAACTAGCAGCTCTGCTTCGGAGATGTTACATATCAGCAACTAACCTACTAATAAATGCAATTGGGCAATACGTAAATAGCCTTAAAATGTGTGAAGAAAACCAGAACGTATCACTCCAAAATATGCCTCTTTCACACAGAAATTATTTTTGAGAGGCCAGGCATGGTGGCTTATGCCTGTAATCCCAGCTACTTGGGAGGCTGAGGCACTAGAATTGCTTGAACCTGGGTGGCGGAGGTTGCAGTGAGCTGACACTGCGCCACTGCACTCCAGCCTGGGCAACAAAGCAAGACTCCGTCTCAAAAAAAAAAAGAAAAAAAGAAAGAAAGAATTATTTTTGAGCGGTAGGCAATTAGGAAGTAGCAAATAGAAGAAAAGCTCTCTCTATTCCCCTCTTTTCTGCCTAAAGGTAGGATACAAACTCTCCTTTATACACAACTCTACAGACTTAATAGCCCAGAGACAGCACCAGAGGAGTCTGCAGACAAACCTTACTCCATTAGTTTCCTCCCAAATATTTACTTTCCCAGTTTCTTTTTTTTTTTTTTTTTGAGACGGAGTCCCGCTCTGTCGCCCAGGCTAGAGTGCAGTGGCCGGATCTCAGCTCACTGCAAGCTCCGCCTCCCGGGTTCACGCCATTCTCCTGCCTCAGCCTCCCGAGTCGCTGGGACTACAGGCGCCCGCCACCTCGCCTGAGTAGTTTTTTGTATTTTTTAGTAGAGACGGGGTTTCACCGTGTTCGCCAGGATGGTCTCGATCTCCTGACCTCGTGATCTGCCCGTCTTGGCCTCCCAAAGTGCTGGGATGACAGGCTTGAGCCACCGCGCCCGGCCACTTTCCCAGTTTCTTATCCTTCAAAGCCTAAAATCTCTTTCCTATGTTCTGCCCTTTTTCCACAAATGTATTGTTCTTTGTTGAAGATGCTACATAAGCCAGAGTTCTGAGCCACTGCTTTGAGTTACTTTGCACTGAGGTTTCTCCCACGCCACACACATTAAACTTGCTTTTCCCTTGTTCATCTATCCTTTTTTTTTTTTTTTTTTTTTGAGAGGGTCTTGCTCTGTCACCCAGCCTGGAGTGCAGTGGTGTGATCTCAGTTTACTGCAACCTGTGCCTCCTGGGTTCAAGTGATTCTGGTGCCTCAGCCTCCAGAGCAGCTGGGACTACAGGCACGTGCCACCACGCCCAGCTAATTTTTGTATTTTTAGTAGACACAGGGTTTCCATGTTGGCCAGGCTGGTCTCAAACTCCTGGCCTCAACTGATCTGCCTGCCTCTGCCTCCCAAAATTCTAGGATTATGGGCGTGAGCCACCGCGCCCAGCAATCTATCCTTTGTTATAGGGTGTCTCAGCAAAGAACTCTGAGGTTGAAGAAAAAATTATTTGTCCTCCCCAACATATGCACACAAAGAATGTTCAAGTGTTGTTTATAATAGCAAAAAATGTATCAGTAACCTAAGATTCTAGTAAAAGGAAATCATTTAAACACTGGTGCTTCCCCACGATGAATTATTATTTAATCAATAATTTTTTTCTTTTTGAGATGGGATCTCACTTTGTCATCCAGGCTGGAGTGCAGTAACATGATCATAGCTCACTGCAGCCTCAAACTCCTGGGCTCAAGTGATCCTTCTGCCTCAGTCTCCCAAGTAGCTGGGATTACAGGAGCACGCCACAATGCCTGGCTCAATAAATAATAAGACAAATATATGTTGATATTTTATAAGTAGTGAAAAATAACACATACAATGTGATCCCATTTCTGTAAGTTTATATGAAATCTAATTATGCCAGGCTTCACCATCCTGTGAATGTCATACTTTTCTTCTTGCAGTCTTCTGGTACAAGACTGGATTGGTTTAAATACTATTTTACTAGTTCCCCTTAAAGCATCTCTCAAAATATTTCTGAGTATCCTGAAAAAAGATGTGTCATGTAATGGCCACCAAGTCTGTCACCTACATATACTGCCCATAAAGCCATGTGGAGAAACTTCTCCACTGCCAAATTCCCTGATACGCATGTGAATGTCATAGCCAAAGGAATGAACTCCACAGCCACCCAAAGTTTCCACACATGGAAAAGAATGGCCTCCTCCCCTAAGAAGTTCTCAGTGGCCGGGCATGCTGGCTTACACCTGTAATCCCAGCACTTTGGGAAGCTGAGGCAGAAGGATCACTTGATCCCAGGATTTCGAGACTCATGTGGGCAACATGGGAAGGCCTTGACTCTACAAAAAATTCTGAAAAATTAGCCATGCCTGGTGGTGCATCCCTGTAGTCCCACCTACTAGGGAGGCTGAGGTGGGAGGATCACTTGAGCCTGGAGGTCAAGGCTGCAGTGAGCCATAATCGCACCACCGCTCTCAGTGTGGGCGACAAAGTAAGACACTGTCTCTTAAAAAAAAAAAAAAAAGAATTCTCAAGCCTGCCAACTGATGCAAATAGATGTTAGGAAGACAGTGAATGGTTTGCGCAAGCAGCTTTGATGCCCCAGTTACACCTGCCCACAGTGCCCTGTTATAGACGTATTTACCAAGAAAAAAGACTAGGATATACCCGAATTTGTCAACAGTGGTTATCATTAAGTATTCTGGAAGTTCTTTCTTTTCCTTTCTTCTTTTTTTTTTTTTTGAGAGAGGGTCTCACTACGTCACCCAGGTTGGTGTGCAGTGGTGCCATCACAGCTCACTGCAGCCTCAACCTCCCCCGGCTCAGGTGATCCTCCCACCTCAGCCTCAGGAGTAGCTGGGGCTGCAGTTGTGCACCGCTACACCCCACTAATTTTTGTATTTTTTGTAGAGACAGGGTTTCCCCATGTTGCCCAGGATGATCTCGAACTCCTGGACTCAAGCGATCCGCCTCAGCTTCCCAAAGTGCCAGGATTACAGGTGTGAGCCACTGCACCCAGCCATTTTTTTCCTCATACTTATTTTATAATGTTCTGCAAAATAGGGTTTTTGAGTCATGAAAACAAATTTTAAGTTAAAGAATGAAATAGACAAGTAGCAAATACATTACGGAGAACCATTTTCTTATTAAAGAGCAAACTATGAGAATAATTTCTTTCCTTTGTGTCAGTCTTTTTTTTTTTTTTTTTTTTTTTTTGGTAACCACCAGAATAGGCAATGTAAGAATACATTCTGACAAATATTCACAGGCATCTGGCCTCTAATTCCGCCCCCAATGCCATCCTTCCTCCTGTCTCAGTGGTACTTACATTCCTGAAGACACTCTGTGTCTGTGCAGTAAGACTGGGACTGCCGTAACTACAATGAATAAGAAAGGGAAGTTAGCTATTAGACTTCAACAAAAGTGGACAATAATTATTAGAAAGATCATGTTTTGGCCGGGTGCAGTGGCTCACGCCTGTAATCCCACACTTTGGAGGCTGAGGCGGGTGGATTGTTTGAGCTCAGGCATTCAAGACCAGCCTGGGTCACACAGCAAAACCCTATGTCTACAAAAAATACAAAAATTAGCCAGGTGTGGTGGTGTGTGCCTGTAGTCCCAGCTATTCAGGAGGCTGAGGCAAGAGGATCACCTGAGTCTGGAGGTGAAGGTTGCAGTGAGCCAAGATGGCACCACTGCACTCCAGCCTGGGTGACACAGTGAGACCTTGCCTGAAAACAAACAAACAAAATTCATGTTTTGTTTTGTTTTGTTTTGTTTTTTGAGACAGGGTCTAGGCTGGAGTGCAGTGGTGCAATCCTGGGCTCAAGTGATCCTCCTGCCTCATCCTCCTGAGTAGCTGGCACTACAGGTGTGTACCACCACGCCTGGGTAATTTTTTAAAAATCATTTTGTAGAAATTTTTTAAAAATCATTTTGTAGGGTCTTACTATGTTGACCAGTCTAGTGACGAACCATGTTTTGGTTATTATTATTATTATTAGAGTTTCACTCTTGTTGCCCAGGCTGGAGGGCAATTGTGCGATCTCAGCTCACCGCAACCTCTGCCTCCCAGGTTCAAGCGATTCTCCTGCCTCAGCCTCCTGAGTACCTGGGATTACAGGCACCCGCCCCCACACCCAGATAATTTTTTTGTATATTTAGTAGACATGGGCTTTCACCATGTTGTCCAGGCTGGTCTTGAACTCCTGACCGAAGGTGATCCACTTGCCTCAGCCTCCCAAAGTGCTGGAATTACAGGCGTGAGCCACCACACCTGCTCACCATGTTTTGGTTTTTAATGAATGCTGTCCAAGAGGGTATCTTCAAAATCATACACAAACACAGAATACTCTGAGGGACTGTCTACTTTTTTTCCTACCCAAAATAATTTTCAAATATACTGTGATCTGTTGCAACTGACCCATTTAAATTAAATAATTTTTAAAAAACCACCCATGACACAAATTCTTGCTACCAATATATAATTAGGCATCCCAAAGGGAAAGTGCTGAACCGTAGAGAACTAGAAGAGTAAAGCTTTGTTAAAGAGATTTTTCTCATTGACAATTAGAAGCAGATAAAGAAAAAAAACCAGATTCTATTTGTAGAAAATGCATCTTTGAAAGGAAGCATAAAGCATCAGTGGTTGGATAGATAAGAAACCAATAAAAGGAGTTATGAGTGAAGGTACAATGGAGGAGTAGAGAAGACTGACAGAAATAGAAGCTAAATTTTTCAATGTCTATCTTTTTATATAGTTTTAAAATCATGTGATTATCAGTTTTAAAAAGAAAGTTAAAAAAGAAAAGGCCCATCTATCTATATTATAAACCACCCTTTTATGAGCATACAAACTATGTTGAGAGCTTTTAGGATGTTTAAAAATGAAAATCTCATAAACCTTAAGATAGAGATGAATAAATAGTAAAGAGAATGAGGGGCATATAACTTTCCAAGTTAGTCTCATTACTAACTACGCCCTCTCCATTAGAGTAGTAAGCCACACTTGCAATTGTTTGCGATGGCAACTATGGTGCAGTAGTGCTTAGCTGGTTCAGCATGGCTCTGCAGAATGACAGGCCTAGATTTAAAGTCTGGTTCTGCGACCTTTTTTTTTTTTTTCCCTTTTAGAGATGGAGTCTCACTCTGTCGCCCAGGCTAGAGTGCAGTGGCATGACCGCAGCTCACTGCAACCTCCACCTCCTGGGTTCAAGCAATTCTCCTGCTTCAGCCTCCCTACAGGTGCATGCCGCCATGCCCAGCTAATTTCTTTTGTATTTTAGTAGAGACAGGGTTTCACTGTGTTAAGCCCAGGCTGGTGTCGAACTCCTGAGTTCAGGCAATCTGCCTGCCTCGGCCTCCCAAAGTGCTAGGATTACAGGTGCAAGCCACAGCACCTGGCCCTGCAAGTTTCTAAGTTTCAAGACGTTCGGGCAAGTAATTTAACACCTCTAAGCTTCAGTTTCCTCGTCTGGTAAAATGGGGATATAATATCACCTATATCTAAGAGTACTAGTGAGAATTAAAATGGGTAACAGATGTGAAATGCAGTAACCACTCAAGAAATGTTAGCTTTTGGCCGGGCGCGGTGGCTCACGCCTGTAATCCCAGCACTTTGGGAGGCCAAGGCGGGCAGATCACAAGGTCAGGAGATCGAGACCATGGTGAAACCCCGTCTCTACTAAAAAATAGAAAAAAATTAGCCGGGCGCAGTGGCGGGCGCCTGTAGTCCCAGCTACTCGGGAGGCTGAGGCAGGAGAATGGCGTGAACCCAGGAGGTGGAGCTTGCAGTGAGCCGAGATTGAGCCACTGCACTCCAGCCTGAGCGACAGAGCGAGACTCTGTCTCAAAAAAAAAAAAAGAAATGTTAGCTTTTATTACTGTGCCATACAAATTATGACCTCAACTAAACAATTATTGGAATTAACAACTAAACGAATCATTTTGTAAATTATTCGATGTTTGGAGCCAGGGACGGTGGCTCGTGCCTGTAATCCTAGCACTTTGGGAAGCTGAGGTAGGAGGATCACTTGAGCCTAGGAGTTTGAGACCAGCCTGGGCAACATGGCGAAACTCTCATCTCTACGAAATAGAAAAATTAGCCAGGCCTGGTGGCGGTAGACCTTGTTTCAAAACAAAAACAAAAACAAAAAAACTAGTTTCGTTTGAAAAAGAATGAGAAAGCAGATTTTTTTTTTTTTTTTTTTTTTTTTTAAAGAGTCTCACTTTGTTACTCAGGCTAGAGATGAGTGGCGTAATCACAGCTCAAAACAATCCTCCTGCCTCGGCCTCCCAAGTAGCTGGGACTACAGGTGCCACATTTTTGTACTTTTCGTAGAGATGGGATTTCATCATATTACCTAGGCTGGTCTTGAACTCCTGAGCTCAAGCGATCTGCCAGCCTCCACCTGCCCAAGTGCTGGGATTACAGGCATGTGCCACCAAGCCCAGTGAAGAAAATATTTTTTAAAAAATTAATTTTAATGAAATAGAAACAGGGTCTATGTTATCCAGGCTGGTCTCAAACTCCTAAGCTCAAGCAATCCACCCACCTCGGCCTCCCAAAGTGCTGGGATTACAAACAGAAATTAATGTGGATTTACTCACTGCCTTAATACAATTATCATTACTATGTATTCTTTTCTAGTCTTAAAATATGCAGACTTCCACATAATCGCAACTGTTGCAACAATTTTTAAAAATTATTTATTTATTTTTAGATACAGGGTCTCACTATGTTGCCCAGGCTAGTCTCAAATTCCTGGACTCAAGTGATCCTCCTGCCTCAGCCTCCTGAGTAACAGAACACAGGTGTGCACCACTGTGTTGGGCAATTGTAATAAATATTTCTGGGAACTTGCTATATGCTAAATACTATACTAACAACTTTAATTTATTATCTTATTTGGTCCTTACCATGTTGGTCAGGCTGGTCTCGAACTCCTTACCTGGTGACCCGCCCACATTGGCCTCCCAAAGTGCTGGGATTACAGGTGTGATCCACTGTACCCAGCCTGTCACTCAGTAGTCTTTTTTTTTTTTTTTTTGAGACTGAGTCTCGCTCTGTCGCCCAGGCTGGAGTGCAGTGGCACATCTCGGTTCACTGCAAGCTCCGCCTCCCAGGTTCATGCCATTCTCCTGCCTCAGACTCCCGAGTAGCTGGGACCACAGGTGCCTGCCACCACGCCCGGCTAATTTTTTCTATTTCTAGTAAAGACGGGGTTTCACCGTGTTAGCCAGGATGGTCTCGATCTCCTGACCTCGTGATCCACCCACCTCGGCCTTCCAAAGTGCTGGGATTACAGGCGTCAGCCACTGTACCCAGCCGTCACTCAGTAGTCTTTAAGATGAACATGACCAGTGTTTTTCTTCAGCACTAATCTCTCCTCCTTCTACCAGGAAGAGGAGGAGCCTTCCCTTTGATGCTAAAAAAAGAGTAATGTATCTATACTCTTTCCTGCTATATAAGTATCTATAGAACCAATTACTCACACAACATTGGTAATTAGAGAAATTATGCCAGTTTAATATGGAAAGTATGTTGGTTCTTAAGTATTTTTCCTAGGTAAAGGGAGCTGGAAAAGCAGGAGTCAAATCATGCCTTTCAGTAGAAAAGGATACAGTCTTTAGCTCACTGCTGGGTAGACAGGAGCCTTTTTAGCCTTTTTTTTTTTCTCCTGAGACGGAGTCTGGCTCTGTGTCCCAGGCTGGGGTACGGTGGTGTAATCTTGGCTCACTACAACCTCCGCCTCCTGGATTCAAGTGATTCTCCTGCCTCAGCTTCCCAAGTAGCTGAGATTACAGATGTGCACCATCATGCCCGGCTAATTTTTGTATTTTTAGGAGAGACAGGGTTTCCCCATGTTGGCCAGGCTGGTCTTGAACTCATGATCTCAAGTGATCCTCCTTCCTCGGCCTCCCAAAGTGCTGGGATTTAGGTGTGAGCCACTGTGCTTGGCCTCCTTTCAGTTTTAAACGAAAAATGAGTGCCTGTGTACACATACTCACAAACACAATCAAGAATGAAAGAAATTATCAGGATCCTGGCTAAGAAAAGCAACTTCATCTTAGACCAAGCTACGGTGAGTCTTTGGGACATCTTGCCAAGAGCTGGTGTTGGATCCTTCTCTTCTGTGCTTGACAGCTACATTCCTCATATTCACAAACAGGCTATGCTCTAGGCTCTGAATAATGAAATGCCAAAGTATCACAGCCACATTCCTAGTCCAGGACTTAAGGTGTTTGGCAAAGCAAAGTGTGCTGGGATATATATTCAATATGTTGAATTCAAACACCTATGACAGGTAAATCGTAGTCTTTTAAAGCATTCAGAAACCATGTATCCAGTATCCAGTAAAACAGGAGAATTTTAGTT